CTCAACGAAACCAGTATGAGTCCAGGAGGAGAAACCGAAAGTTTTCTTTTAATTTGTGCATCAAATCTGTACCGCATTTTTTATGCACGATATTTTCTGGAAGGTTAACAAAGTACTGATTGTTATAAATGAGGAGTATTAGGGGTATTAGGGCTTTGTGTTAACTGTTTGTTTTTATTCACTCCGTAAAATCTTTTGTCTTTGAACAATGGTTTACTCACAAACTCAGTCGGTTTTATTCCAATTAACTGTAAATAGTTTCCAAGCTTCATCCCCTTGATTCCCCTATAGAGTAAATACTATTCAAATTAAAGTTGTATTTTGATGATGGATTCGTCGTATAAATAAAGCGTGAGTTGAAAAGCTGGGAAGCACTGTACAGCTGTTTCGACCTGGTTGGGTTTCATCAGCAGTGCGAATCCATCGCCCCAAATGGGGATCGAATCCGGGACCTCACGGATAGAACACAAGCATAGTACTCACTCGGCCACCTGGCGTGCTCCGTTTTTGGGAAGAATGTCTTCGTGATTTCACAGTTCACTCACTCAATTTATTCTTATATGATTCACCAGTCTTCTGGCCAGTGTAAAAGGTACTAAACAATATGGTCTAATCAATTGGTCCACAAGAATAATAATGAACGGTATAGTTTTTCCTTCTGAATATTTGCCAGATGATTATTGTGGGATAGTCTGTTGAATCACTATTCCTTAACTATTCCTCCTCCATTACCATCGCCATACCATTATCTTGGAGTTGTGTTAATGTTCCTAATGTGATTTATTCCACAATAAACCGATCGTTGAAAGGGTTATTTACAGTCAGTGGAGTTACAAAAAGGAACACCCGGCCCGTTCAGTGGAGGCGCTCAGTTGTTCATGAATATTTAATTTTACACATGCAACCAGCGTCCAGTTTAATAATGATATTTAAGTGAAACAGTGGTACCGCCACCGGCTATACGTGGAAAAAGAGACAGGACTCACGGACAAAGAGCGATATAAATTGAAGCGGTGGATATACTTAGTCCCACATTGTATCTAACTGTTTACTTAGAGCTTGTGGAACCTCCAGAGCGAAACAGTGATCCTATAATTTGAGATGCATTTTATCGAATCCGATGCTACTAATTCGAATCAAACGGATTTTGTTCTACAATTCACATGCGGTCATGCACTGCTAAGTACTCAATTACATCAGTTAAAAAAGCTTTTCTTTGCATTATATCAGACACGATTCCTTTTGTTTGCTCCATATGTTTACAATCTTTTATCAAAAGCAGCTAATCCAATCTATTGCTTCGTTGATGACTCCACTTTCTATGGTTTTCTCTCTCAACTTACCCACTCCTGGCCACTGTTAAATTGATCTTGATGGCACTGTGACCAGTGATTCTTTCCCCCGATCTCTGACTCAGCCCTGCATATGGTTGCATTAACCATGTTTGTTTCAATGCTTTAGGAACTTTTCTCTTTTAAATCCCTTTCAAACATATCCCTTATTATCCTCAATAGATTAGTGGACCCAATCCCTTTCATCACATCCTCTTACCGGAGCTTGTCCATAAATTATTCTCTCCATTCAAATCCACTTTCGCCTATGGAACTACTGGCCCATTCGGTTTCCTATTTCGCGCCAGACAAATCTCTACACCGATCCACCTGCTCTTTTCGTGCAAAACACATATCCGCCCAATATTCGAACAATGCAGTCACGTGTGTGGTTGAGCTCCGTATTGTCTTTTTTCTCTCCTTGACCGAGTTCGACATAAAGCGTTCTAAATGATCAACGAAATATTCATAACCTCAAATCTGCAGTCAATATCCCATCCCTAAGCAGGTAATTTGTTAACTGTTTTCTTCGTTAACCATTTGGATTTTTGTTATTCTCAACAAATTTCATGGGGGTTCCTGTCCCCTTGTCCTTTTTCCTTCCCTGCAATTCTTAGAAGACCAGCTACTCTTACCCGGTTTCTGTATCGAGATGATGGTCTTTCATATACCAGTTTTATTTTTTCCCGGAGTGTGATATTATGCCACGTTCTTTCCCATTTTTGGTATTTCCAACCACTTGCAACCTTACTGTTTTCTAAAGTAAGATCAAAAATCGGTTCTCAGCTGAAGTTTCTCACATATCCTGTTCCCGTGGAAGCATGCCATGTATTTTAGAGTATACCACCTTTTACTAAACATCCCTTTGTGTAATGAAAATAATTGACATGTTTAAGTACATCGATATGTTTATTACATCAATGTCGCTTGATGTACCAAAATATTTTTTATTAAATCAATAGGAGATTGGATTGTGACAATCGGGGCAAAACTTATTTGTAGAAACTCTTCACAAATATTCTTTTTGTGTTTGCAAACCTAATCTGATCTTCAGTTCATGTTGCCATTCTTCTCACCATCTTGTTGTGAGATAAAAAAGATGTAAATGTAAATGTCTTTTTACTTCCTTATTTATTTATTGAATATACAAATGTACAGTCAACTTTCCGGGAGGGGGCTGCGGCCACACAAAGTCTGCCCGGGTAAAATACAGAAATAGGGAAGACGGGCGGCGGTGGAGCGGCTCGAACTAGGGACTTCCGGGTTATAAACTGGTCACCTAACCGTTTGCAATGATTGGTGAGCTTTTCGATCATGTGGGATGCTGTTTATCTATCGTTGAAACAAGCAAGAGCACTGGCTCTAAGCAAACAACTCCCAGTCGGGATCCAACATCAAATTCACATCGTTTGACACATCAAATACGGAGGACAACAGATGGCATATAAGCAGCCAGAACGTGATGGTCTCTGCTGTACCATATCCAGTTTGATTTTATCAAATAATCAAAGTTGCCCCAACTGAAAACGTTTGTTCCCTTTCAAATTCACATATTCTTCCCGTATCGAGTTTGGCAAAACTGTTCGTGCTTACATTCTTGTACAGTTTTTCCGGAACAGGATGAGGGAAAACTCTCGCTCACAATGAATCAGCATCACGAAGACTGCGGTAAGATAGCAAGTGCGTGCGTGTGGGTGTGGGCGTGCAGGGTGGAGTGGGCGGAAGTTGGGTGGTTCGGTGAATCCTCTGGCGCTCAAACGACCGAAATCTTGAAAACGGCTACACCGAAAATGTCCTAGTTCCGGACAGAAACTAACCAATCCGTGTCCCGATTCTGCCACAAGATTTGGCTTTTGTTTTTCCCCGGATAATCAATATGCTTTCGTTGAATCATCAGACATTCCTTGGAATGGATAACAGAATTACGATTGTTTGGGGATTTCAGTGTAATTGGACACATTAGAAAAGAACCCGACAACTTCATTGAACTGCCTCGTTTTCATTCGCGCAGACGTTGCACGCTTGACAACCGCATGCACATTGATTGATTGATCAATGCATTTATTGAATATACAAAAAATATGCAGCGACATTTTGTTTTCAATAGGGTTATTTGTTTGTACTGATAACTGAAAGCACTAGACTTATTCAACGAAAGATTGGCATGAAGCGCAGTTTGTATGGCAAAACTGTTTCCATAGAAATAGCTTACGGATATTGTATTCCGTCAGCGATGGTCTGTCAAAAGAAACGCGAATTTTTTGACTATTGGTTTCTACGAGAAGACGCAGATATCGCTTGTTAGATTCTATTCTCTCCAAAAAATACTTGTTCTATTTGTTTTCAGCCATTATTTGTCATATTTTAGTTCATTTGCATTTAGTTCGCAGCTGTTAAACTTCTTTTTGTTTCCTGAAGAATTATACGAATAATTTTCAGGAACTTAAAAATTGCCAATCAAACGTCCCACAGGACTATATGGATTATGATATGTTTCAGACTCACGACCTTTCGGTCTAGTTAATAGGGTTTTATACCATTATTTCTTCTAACAGTGACATCATTCACTCAGCAGAAGTGCATATAAACGTGTGCCTCACTACCCGGTGGAGTTATCATTTGCCTAACCCGCTTTAACTTAATACAGCAACGAGCGTAATCCGACCGTTCGACAGACCATATGTGAGCACACCTGATATGGGAGAACACGGATGCCAAGCTATGGCCAGCTAACATGGGATAGGCAAACTGGCTTGGGTATATGTAGTTCTTGTTTCAGCTTCTCATATATTGCACTTTGAGGCACGTGGAAAAATAAGATACGCTGCTGATTATACCTTTGGAATAAACGAATTTGTTTGATGAAATAATTTGCCTCCTGCTGCTGGACTTACCGTGCTACATAAAACCAAAACTACTCTGTTAGTAATCGGTAATTACTACTTTTTTGGGTAACTCAGTGCAAGCTATGAACCAATAATTCCGCAGATATCCCAAGATGGTGTATAGAGAGCGTTTTGCCATACACTCCATAGGGCAGTTTTAATCATTCTGAAACACCCTAATATCAATTAAATCGGTATCATTTGCTTCTTTATTGCTGAAAACAGATAAATTATTATACAATCTTTGGGTCAGATTAGCAGACAGTTTTGTTACATAATTTACTAAAAATGTCAAAATATCGACATTAATCTGAAATGATTACTGCAAGAGAAGTTGGAAGACGTTGTACACTGCTTGAGTCCGACAGCATTTGTTCAATTACAGGGAAAGTTTAATCACTGAGAGCCTTGAGCAATAATATCTAAATTCCAATAGATGGCAATTTACAGCATATTTGTCGGCGCGAATATTGCTATCAAAAAATTTTGTAGTCAAATCCTGTGAAAAAGAGATATCCTTTAAATAAAGTCAAACAGCGAGTCATTCATTCATTCATTCATTCATTCACTCATTCATTCATTCAGTCAGTCAGCCAATCAGTTAGAAAATGAGTTAGTTAAATACTACTTTATGCACTTATTTATTTAGTTAGTTAGTAAGCCACTACGCAAGTAAGTTACTTGGTTACTTCAGCAAATAAACTGATCCTGGGGTTGGTAATAGAGCGTGTTTTGAAGTGCAGTCTAAAATCTAGCAGCATCTATACATCATGAATGAGTAGACTTACCGAAAACTGCTACATGGGTGAATAATCCATTTGCCTTGTTGGGCCTGGCGGCGCTTCTCTTTTAATAAGGCATTTTTGCTTCCAAATAGCTTCATGGCAAGTTTATTGTCTGACGGTTGAAAGAAGGCTAAAAATTGTTCCTTCAAATAACTGGATGTGCTTTGTTTTGCCATTTCCGAACCCTGTTCCACAAAATTTCCGTCGGCCAGTGCGGCAATTGAATAGGTTGAGTGTGAGTTGAGATTGAAGTTGTTCGTGCTGGTTGACTTATCGGTCGAATGATCATTCTCACCCGGACGGGAAGTTCCTAACGAATTATTAGTTCGTATCCCATGGGGTGAGGATGGAGAATCCTGAAAATCGTGGCCCATCTGGGAGGATGTTGGGTTTTTGGGTCCAAAACGAGGGGATAAATTGTCTGAACTGAAGTTTCTCTTCAGTGGTTGAGTTTCTTCGATATCCGGGGAGTCGAATGTCACAGTTTTAGTCCCTTCCATTGAACTCTCGCTTAAAATCGAATTGTTCTGGGCACTGAATGAGGTCATCGGTCGACGATGTTTCCCTCCGCCATAGATACTATCCACAGCGGTCGAATGAAGTCGTCTTATACCTCTGGTTGCAGGTCTTCTGGGTCTGT